AGAAATGTTACAGATTTTACTACCTCTGCTTTCTTTTAGGATTTCTATGGTTTCCAGTCTTACATTTAAGTCTTTAATTCATTCTAAGTTTATTCTTGCATATGATGTAAGAATGTGGTCTAGTTTCATTTTTGCATGTATCTGTCCAATTTTCCTAAAACCATATACTGAATAGACCAACCTTTTTAATTTTAAATATGTTTAGGTTATATGATTTGATATGAAGCATTTGTTGCTTTTAAAATATACTGGAGAGCCCTGGCCAGTTTGGCTTAGCGGTTAGAGCATTGGCCTGTGGTCTGGAGAGACTCAGGTTCGGTTCCCGCTAAGGGCATGTACCTCCGGTGCAGTTTATCCCCGGTCCTGGTTGGGTTATACGGGTAGAAGCCACTGGATGTGTCCCTTTCACATCAATGTTTCTCTCTCTCTCTCCCTCTCTCACCCTCCCACTCTATCTGAACAAAAAATGAAAAAAATGTCTTCAGGTGAGAAAAAAATAAATAAATAAAAAATACTGGAGATAATCCACAGAACTTATATGCATGTCAGCATAACCAATGGTCACGGACAACAAAGCCTGGGATGAAGGGGGAGGATGGGAGAGGGGTGTCAATGGAAAAAAAGGAGAAACATCTGTAACAAAAATAAAATTAAAAAAAAAAAAAGAATAGTCTAAAAATCATTCCTGTGAAACAATCTGCTTCATGGATTAGCATGAGAAATTATTTGCAAAAAAAAAAAAAGATGAGCATCTCACTTTTAAATCTCCATAACACTTGTCACAGCTTTGAGACTGCCAACCATCTCTGGGTTCAGTCAGCATCAAGAGCCTGGTCATAAGAACCCAGCTTGCACAGGCTGATGGCACGTGAGTCCACATGCGTGAGCGGCCGCTGAACCCATTTCATTCGGGCAGCTGCTCATCGAGACTTTTCCCCAAAAACTGATTTAGCCCTAATGATTCTGAGTAGCAATGACTTCTGCTTAATTAGTACAGTAATCAGTGCAAATTCCCTCTAAATGGTAGAGACCCATTTGACAGGTGCCAAAGTGATGCTTAACCAGGACCTAATAGGTATAAAAGCCTCAGTTCTGGTCCTTCCCAGCTAGTTGCCAAGAACATAAAGATGAAACGAGGTCCTAAGTATGCCTGGGCGGATGAGTTGTTTAAAACTTCCCTCTAATTGCTGGTAAGAGCCACCTCCTCCCCCATCCCCCCAGTTTGTTACTCTGAAGCCAGATTTGGCTCCAGAAGTGGACGAGAGCAAAAGTCACTTCACTGACACTTTGGTATCTCTGCTCCTGATCCCCAGTTCCTCCTTTTCCCCAGCCCCCACTCAGCATTCTGTTCCCGGTCACATGTCCTAATTTCCACCTCTGTACCTAAAAATGAAGCTGCCTTTCAGGCAGAAATAGCCCAGGTCTACCATCCCAGTTTGCCCACACCCTGAATTCCATCTTGATGGGGAGTGAGATTGTGTCTGTGGACCGAAGAGGGAGTGAAGATAAACATTAAAGAGAAAGAACACTCCATGTTATAATCAGGCATGTATCTGTAACTGACCCAAATAACACTCTTCATTATTAGGAAAAATAACTAACTTTTATTGAGTTTTAGCAATGGGCAGAAATGCCCATAGGTTATACTATTTAATCCTTCCCAACAACCAGTCCACAGCGTGCTATGCCGATTCATGCATGGCATTTTGCTGCTGGTTATTGGTCCATGGGGAGGCACATGTCCTAAGAGGGTCCTAACAGAAGGAATAGAAGCAGCTGTATTCAACTGTTGGGGGAGGGGTTTCTCTGTCTACTGAACTAGACATGAAGGAGAAAGCATCCTGCCCGTTACTGCTGATGACCCTCCTGCACACACAAAGGGAGCCAGCCACACAGCAAAGCTGAAAATCAGAATAGGACAAAGACATGGAAACTGGAGGAAACTTAAATTAATTCTATTCTGCCTGAAGCCCTCTTTACCTCTGTACTTCTCCCTGTGTGAGCAAATCAATTTCCAAGTTCTTTAAGTCAATTTGAGTTGACTTTTCTGTTATTTGCTGACTGACCTGAGGCACAGTGGGGTTAAATATCTTGGCAGAGGAACTGGCTGAGTCGCGGTTCAACCCTAGGTGCCTGGCATCTGAGTTGTGCAAGCTGTCTCCCTCCCTAGGACTGAGAAGAGCCTGACAGCCCCGTCAGGAGTGTAGGAAGTTCATCTTTGTGACAGTTAATGTCATGTGGCAACTTCACTGGATCTTGGGGTACCCGGATATTTGACTAAACTTCATTTCTGAGTGTGTTGTGAGATTAGCATTTGAATCAGTGGACTCAGAAAAGCTGATTGCCCTCCCCAGTGGGGGTGGGCATCATCCAAGCTGTTGGGGGGCTGCACAGAACAAAAAGCTGAGCACAGAAGAATGTGTCCCTTTGTTCCATGAGAGCACCTTCTTCTCCTGCCTGGGCCTGGAATTTGCACCAGCAGCCCCACTGGTTCTGTTTCTCTGGAGAACCCTGACTAATATAAGCCCTTACAGCTACTATTTTTTAAAAAGTAAGTGATTTGGAGCCGCGTTTGGAAAATCAAGTGGGTGGTCAGGCAGAGAAATTACTTTCTCGGCTGAAGTTAGGACACCCTCCCCGGGTGGCTGAAGGCAGCGGTGACGGAAGGGTCCCCATATTTTTCAGCACAGGCAGCGCAGCATTGCCAAAACAGGACCAGGATCTCCTAAGGCAACTATTTGAAGGACCTTATTTTTAAGATGTATTTCTAGCATATTTAAGAAATCACAGAGTCTTGATTATTATAATCACATCTCACACACATTCAAGTCCCAGGCTTGAATCTCTGGACACATCTGAGTCCCCTCTCTATCTCTACTTACACACAAAGTCCTGAACATTCTTGTTTCTTCACTGTATCTTTGAAATTCATCTTACCTGCCCATTGACCTCAAATTCACCACAAAGTCCTTTCTCGTCATCCCCTCACTCCATAGTCACCACTTCACTCTTTAGTCTGTTGTCCCATCTCCAGACCCACTGTTCTGACCTCCCCACCTCCCCCAACAACTTCATTATTCCTACCTTTAAATAACTCAGAAACCTGCAATAAAGCATTGTACTAAAATGCAGGCTTTCTTAAACATACATGGGGCAAATCTTGGTTCTGCCATTAATTAGCAGTGTAACGTTGTAGGTTATGGGACCCTATTAAGCCTCAGTGTTTTGTTTTTGTTGTTTGTTTTTTCATCTTTAAAATAGAAGAAATAACAAGCACTTTATTGAATTGTTTTGAGGATTATAAAAAATAAAAATAAAAAACGCTGCTAGCGCTGGTCGGTGTGACTCAGTCATTGGAGCATTGTCCTGTACATCGAAAGATTGTGTGTTTGATTCCTGGCCACAGCATATGTTTAGGTTGCAGGTTTGGTCCCTGGTTGGGGCATGTACGAGAGGCAACCATCAGTGTTTCTCTCTCACATTGATGTCTCTCTCTCTCCCTCACAAGAGTGTGTCCCATGATGGACACCTAGGACCACAAGAAATATTATACTAGAACTCATATCCCTCTTTCTGCAGCTTAATTATCTAGGGGACTAAAGACTCAGAAACCAATTACATGACAAGAGTAACTTTGAAAGTCTAAATAACATGGAAATCCCCAAAAGATAGGGTCAGAACACTAAAAAAAAAAAGGAATTTCAGAGGTAAAAATGATAGGACCCTGATGTTGGGTGGGCTATTGAAATAGGAAGAATAGATGATCACATGAAGGAGACACAACACTTTGCCTTGTAGGGAACATTATTATTTTTTACGTTTTAAGAACAAATACAATTTTATGCACCCGAGCAATAACAAAATATTTTTATCTGCAATATAATATAAAAGTAAGTGAAGTAGAAACTAAAGAGAACAACAGAATATGGAAAGCGTAGTCAAGTGTAGGAACCGTTTTGTTCCTTTACTGGTTATTTCAAGCCAATTTCCTGCTTGAGCAAACATCTTCATAATGATGATGGTGATGGTGATGGTGATGGTGATAGTGGTAGAATTGGTAAAGATGAAAATATTGATGATGAAGAGAATGATTATCTGCTGCTATACCAAGTTCTAAATATGGGTCAGACATTTTATCAACTAAATTACACATATTCATTCAATTTTATGCCTAAGACCAGTTTGTAAGTTAAATACTATTTTTCTCACTTTGCAGTAGAGAGATTGAAATCTTTGGGTTTTTTTGTTTGTTTAATTGTTTTTTGGTTTTTTTTAATTTTTTGTTACAGATATTTCTCCTTTTTTACCCCATTGGCATCCCCTCCCCACCCCACCCCCACCCCGCCCCCGGCTTAGTTGTCCATGTCCATTGGTAATGCATACATGCATATAGGTTCTGTGGTTTAAAGAGATTGAAATCTTTGTGAGCCCCATAATTTGATTGTCAACTCAAAGAGGAATCTTTAGAAATAACATGTATTTGAAATGATATAGAAATAATATTTGGTACGACATCAAATTCATGTAACACGGACAGTGAGATCCTGAGCCTTAGGATCAAAGAAGAATAGACATAAACCAAAAGACAGACAATGTTTATCCCATCACAAATAAGCACTTTATTCAGGAAGTGGAAGAGTAGTTACAGGTGCTCAGGTGGTAGAGCCCTCTGCCCACATCACAGATACAGCACCATGCAGAGAACTCTCTGTGGCCACTAGGAAGAGAACTTCCGATCTTCCTTCTGAAGCTGGGGATGCTGTCACAGCTGAGGACTGTCCTTTCTCAGCTTCCTTTCCTTCCAGAGAGTAGCAGGAGAACAGACTCAGGAAGGAAATCATTAGCTGTCAGGAATAATCACGGGCATACGACAGGCTGAAGGGTGGAGGAGCTTCTTCGGCAACCATGATGGGCTTTGAGGAATAGATGGAGGAGGGGCTGGGGAAGTGGGTGATCCAGTTCTTCTTCTCCTTTCCGGCCCCTGCTGAACACTGAAGCTGTTAGTTTCCCTTGGGTGGGCATTTCTGCTGGCATGGTGGAGGAGGCTGCACAGGAGGGCATTTTTGCTGACACAGCTGAGGTGGGCATGGCTTGGGGCACTTTGGGGGTGGGCATGGCTCCGGGCACTTTGGGGGTGGGCATGGCTCAGGGCACTTTGGGGATGGGCATGGCTCGGGGCACGTAGGTGGGCACACGGGAGGTGGCTGGTAGGGCTGCTTGCACTGCTGCTGTTGATAGGACATCTTTCTGGAGTCTTGAATCTGAAAGAAATTACAGGACAGTGTTCACTAGGAGGGCCTCCTACCGAAAGAGAACCCAACGCTCAGACAGCACCAGGGGAATCATCTCTCCAGTCCCCAAGAAAGTGCTTTCGTCTCTCAACTGCAGTTGAAGACTCTCTGGCTTTTCCCTTCATCTTTATAAGATTGCTTCATCAGCCCTAAGAAAAATCTGTCTTTCTGCTTCCCATTTTTCAAAAAAATATATTGCTGAAAGAAGAAAGTCCTATGCTTTGTATAAAAATAACATCTTCATGAAAGTTCATCACAAGTTCTAAAGTCCATCACCCCACAAGCAATTTCTATCCTCAGTATCTCTTCTGAAGTCACAATAGGCTGACTCAGGTACACAGCCTCGGACTGTTCAGGAACCATGCACAGAGACTGAATTCACACCAGAACGGAAGAGACATCAACATATATTTTTTTTAAAAAGCAAACAAATAAAACAACAAAAAACCGTTTGTTTTTCTTCTTTATATCAAACCTTTCCTATTAATGTGTTTTCGGTACAGGATATCAAACTATCTACCTGTAAACAAGTGAAAATAGTATATCAACGTGCCCCAATTCTAAGGTTTCATCCCATAAGTAGCATCAAACCCATGATCACGATTTAAGACACAGCAAACGTGCTGTCCTTAGATACAGTCAACACTCGAGAGCACCAACACCAGTTGAACTCTAGAAATCAGACTCACCAGTTCCGCACAGTGGATCAGACGCGAGTGCGGGAGGATGCTGGCTGGAGGGCAGGCCCCCTCTTTATAGCACCTGCTGCTCCGCCCAGGGAAGGAGAGCTCCTGACTCTGACTTGGTCCAGTCATTTCCCATCCAAAATGCAAATCCACCCATAACTGGCTCGACAGGGGTTGTGTAAGCAGAATGCATCCTGCCCCGGGGTCTCCCCGCTGCGCTGCCTGCTCATGACTCAGAGGCCCTGCCTCACCCTCAGTCAGGGACAGGGCTGTGGGGGACTCGGGGTCTCTAACTGCTGTTCGAAGGCTTTCTTCCTTGATTGGGGATGATGACCCCTTCCTATCTTTCACCTTCATAAAATGTTCTGCCCTGTTCCATTTCAGCTGGTTGTCATTTTCTTGCATGTGCTGGGTTGAAAAGAGCCTGGCTACCTGGTGACACCTCGCTCTTGACCCAGAAGGTCTGTAAATGCATTTGTCTGTGATCCTGTGGCTGCTGATCTACGTCCTCTGTTCCTTCTTCTGAAACGGGCTGGGGTAAGGTTACAGACCATCTCAGTAGATACCCCATCACAATACGAGAAATATTCAGTAAAATGTGACCTCCAGGGTTCTCTGTGCACTGTTTTGATCTTGCAAATAGAGCGCATATAGCTAAAACGCTATGATCTTTATAAATCTGTCACCTTTGCCACATGGAAAATACTAGGAACCCACATCAGCTATTGAATTTCAAAGCCCTGGCTGGTTTGGCTCAGCGGTAGAGCATCGGCCAGCGGAGCAAAGAGTCTCAGGTTCGATTCCAGCCAAGGGCACGTACCTCCATTTCGGTTTGTCCCTGGCCCTGGTCAGGGTCATGAGGGAGGCAAACAGTCGATGTGTCCCTCTCACGTTGATGTTTCTCTCTTTCCCTATCTCTCCTCTCTCCCTCCCACTCTACCTGAAGATAAATAGAAAAATATCCACAGGTGAGGATTAAATAAATAAATAAAATGGGTTAATTTATAAAAAAAAGAAATTCCAATGTTCTGGCATTTCCTCATCTAATAAGCAATGTTATTCAGATAACTAATTTTATGCTAATTTAATATTCCCTTAATGAATTGACACTTTGACATAGAACCTGTTGGGAAATTCAAGACAAATTTTAAATAACTTTATGTTCTGCACCAACATTTCTGGCCAGGCATGAAACGGGAGCAGGAGGTGGAAAACCACTTCTTTGTTATTCTTCGCCCATCTGGCCACATCCCTAGTATAACTCTTTTTGAAGAAGAACCCCACTGATAATCTCCCTCCTCCTCGCATTGACCTGCACACACCAAAGCCGCAGCCCTCAGTAGTCATATGTATGTATGCCACAGTTCGGCAGAAAACGGGGTATCATACTCAGGTTTCAAAACATAAGGAATGAGTTTATCCAGGTTCCAACAATCAGACAGAAATTCTAGAGTTGGTCAGACTATGATTGGGAAAAAGTGGGTGTTAAAAAGAAAGTTAATAAGAATAATAAAACATAGCAATATAATAATAATATAATATATAATGTAATAATAACATAGATAATACAATGATAAAATAATAATAATACTGACCTCTAAACTGTTACGAGAAATAAATTAAATAAGAAACTGCATGAAGAGCATGTAGCAAAGTCTATCAAAAGTACTCAAATAGTAAATTAATAAATTGTTTATTAAAGACATAGAGATAAAACCAAGTTCCATTGTGTTTGGTGGCTGAGAATGATATTTGTCTCATTCTTTAAAAGATCAGTTATATCATCTCTATTTTAACTCAGTGCCAAAATATTTTTAATGAAAGCATATAGAAACACCTGGCTGGACTGACGTATAGAAATAATAAAGTGGGTTAATTATCACACTTATTATGTGGTGAAAATCAAAATTAAAATCAAATAGAAATTAAAACATAGTCTAAAAACAAGGCAATTTAATTAGTCTTAGGTATTTGGACTCAGAATGTCTTCAGAATTTTGTTAAATATTTTTAAAAATTCAAATACAATAAAATCCAATATATATTGATTTTGTTGGTTTGGATAAAAAAATTGAATTTATAAATATTTACCACTCTGCATAAAAAAATATGATGTAATTTTTAATTTAGTTTGTTATTAACATACTTAGAAATTTAGGACAATAGAATAAGCTCCAGTTTAAGTGCCACATTCCTTCCTGTAGCAGTTTGTCAGGTCAGGGTAAGTCCTTATTGAGAAATAAATAGCCATCAGAGCTAATCTTCCAAAAAGAAGTAGACTTCGTAAATTCTAGTTTTACAAAGACATACTTCATTTCATTGCCCTTCACTTTATTGAACTTTGTAGATATAGCTCTCTCTCTCTCTTTTTTTTCCTTACAAATTGAAGGTTTGTGGCAACAGTGTATCAAGCAAATCTTTGGGCACCAAAAAGATTATGGTTTGCTGAAGATTCAGGTAATGGTTGACATTTTTAAGCAATAAAGTACTTTTCATTAAGGTATATACATTGTTTTTTCAGCTGTAGTACAATTGCACACTTAAGAGACTACAGTGTAAGTATAGACTATAAAGTAAAATTAACTATTGTATGCGTTGGGAAACCAACAAAATTCACGTGACTCACTTTATTGCAACATTTGCTTTGTTATGGTGGTCTGGAACCAAACTCACAATATACCCGAGGTATGTCTATACTCCCCAAAAGTGGTATCAGAATATTTAAGGAAATGATGTCAAGAGCTAATGGAAAATGAACATACCCTGTGTGATGTGCGTTAATGAGAATGAGAACGTCAGGTAAGAAATGGAACAAATCATATATTTCTCCTCATAAGAGTCTTTCCAAGCTAGCAAAGTCCATGGGCTGTTGCGTCCCTCCAGAAACAGTCATAAAAAAAAAAAAACAAAGAAACCTGGGTAAAAACTGCAGAACACTCTAGGGAGAGAAAGCCCTTTGAACTTTAGCATGGGGATGGGGTGACTTTTGCCTGGGAAGAGAAGGCTGACCAAATTATAAGAGGAAAAAATCAGAAAAAATTAAACGAAATATAAAAATTCCTCAAAAAATCTAACATATCAAAACTGACTCAAGATCTTCTAGAGCTAAGTTTTACCATATAATCTAATAATAGCACTCCTAGAAAGTTACGCCACTGTTTCAAAATCATGTCCACACAAAAACCGGCATGCGAATCTTGACAGCAGCTTTACTCACGAGGTGCCTTTCCACAGGTGACTGGATGAACTGCACTTTTAATCCAGAGCCCCCCTGAAACCTACATCTCCCCCTTTCCTTTCTACTCCACTCTGCAAGGGTCACTTTACAATAAAGAAACAAAGAAGTGAGTAAAAGTTATTTGGAAAGAAGGTCACCTCCTAGGAAGGCAAGGCAGCATTGTAGGTTAGTTTAATTTTATTATAGTCACCCATTTGTAAACACTAATTCCCTTCACAGCATTTCCCATGATTGGAACAGGGTTGTGTGCTACAGAAGATAATCTCACATGGCAAGTAATTTTTTACATTATAGTTATTATCTATCTTAATCTGCATTTGGAAAAGGCATAATTTCAAACTTGTCATGTATGATACGGCCTAGAATTCCGGTTTTTAAAGTCTACTGATTTAGTGAGGCCGGTGTGGCTCAGGGTCTTCTCTTTGTATCTCCCCACCAGTCAGATACAAACACACTTGACCACCACCAAATGTAAGCTCCAGGAACACAGAGCTTCGACTTTGTTTATCTCTTACTAATATATCCTCATGATCTACAATAGAGTCTGGCCAAACAAAACAAAAAGATATGGAATAAGGCTCAGTGAATTGATTCATAGATGATATAAATGACATCTCCAGGTCAGCTCTATATATTTTTCTCTCCTCAAACTTAAGATGACCTTTTTTGAACTTACCTGATCTAGTGAGATCATCAAAATTCTATCCTAGCCCTGGCCAGTTTTGCTCACCGATTACAGCATTGGCCTGTGGACCAGAAAGTCCCAGGTTCGATTCTGGCCAAGGGCACCTACCTTGCTTGGGGTTCATCCCAGGTCCCAGTTAGGGTCATGCAGGTGGCAACCAATCGATGTGTCTCTTTTACATCGATGTCTCTCTCTCTCTCTCTCTCTCTCTCTCCTCCCACTCTGTCTGAAGATAACTGTAAAAAAAAAAGTTTTTTTCCTAGAATGTACTTTTCAAAAAGAGAAAGAATATGAGCAGGATAAGACAAAGGAGGCACACCCATCACCCTCTGCTCCCCAGGTCA